TACTTAATATACTCAAAGGCTTGCAAAAATTAAAAAAATTAATTAAATTATGTTTCTATTTCTATGTTATTATCTTTTATGTTGTTTACACATAATATAAGCTAAAATTTAACTAAAATTTATTTTAACAAGAAATCTCAAATAAAAATATATAAAAAATGCGATTATGTTGCGTATGTTATGTAAAATGGTAAACATAACAACAGTTCTTATTTAGTTAACTTGATATTGAACTTAAATTGCACATCTGTCCGCTTTTATCTATGCTATCGTTCTAACTCGACTTCTTCTGACTTTCACTCATTGATCCTTCATTCTTCTTAAAATCATATACTCTTGGTCTGTGAAGCGGATTATGATGCTCTTTAGTGAGCTGAACTTGTCTTTGCAGACCTTAGTATGTGGCCTCTATATGGCAATTAGCCAGAGAAGGATAAACCACAATACCAAAAAAAACAATACCATTTTTTTATACTTTATTTCAAAAAATATCAAGATCAAATATTTTGTATAAATAAGCAAGTTGTTTTTAGGAATTTTATTTAAAAAGAAATTTGAACAAAAGAATTTTAGTCTACTAAAATTCTCTTATTCATATAATTTTGCGATTGAAATTTGAAATTGAAATAAAGTTGGAAAAATATAAATGAATTTTAATGCTCAATAATTATTAATTTAATTCAGTAGCCTTTGTAATAACCAGTATAGCAAGAATAGTTGCTGAAAGTATTTTTAGCTACAGTAACAATATCAGATTTAAAACAGTGCAAATGAGGAAGAAAAATTTTATTTAAGTTGTAAACGTTTTAATTAGATAACATTTTGTTTCTTGAAAATACTTGTAAAAGTAGAAACATTCTATTCAAGCTTAAACCAGTAATTGCAAAAGTAAAAATAAATATTAAACTATAAAAAATTGAATTAAAATTAATAAATTATTTTACTTGAAAATATTGTTTCACTTTTTGTTGTAAAACAATTTGAATTAAAAAATTGAATAAAAACATCAACTTTAAAATCATGTTAAGTAAAAGCAAAAATAATCTTAAAACAACTTTTTTTGCAAATGTCTTCTCAAAACCCCTAAGTGTGCTCTATATGATAAATTAATACTGGATTATAAAGTTTTTTGAATAAAAAGTATTTTTAGGGGTTACACATGACCCTAAAACATCAGACAGGTTCATAATATTATAAAAAAAAAGTTTTTTTGAAGTATATCATGTTAGGTCTTAAAAGAAGCGAAATTATATAAAAGCTTTTGTGATTTCTTGTCCACAATGCCAAAAAAAACTGATTATATTAAAAATAACAAATTCAACAGTCTTTTAAAGTAAATCTTTTTTTAGTTTTCTGCTAATGCTTTGAGATTGTAAATCACTCTATGTTGCTCATTTGTAAGTTTATGTGTATTTCTTTTATTCATTTTAAAATATTCAAAACACATTTGAAATCTTTTTAAACCAAAATATTGTTTTTTTTTAAGTTTATTTTTATTGGAGTAAATGCAATAAAAGCAATTAAACTCCTGATTTTATTTCTTCCAGATTTAAAAACAATATAGCCATCTATTAAGTATGAAGTATTATATATAAATGTGGTTTAAATTTAAAAATGGTTTTAACCACTATTAAATAATTTAATACAAAATAAGTATTTTTTAAAAGCGATTACTATATTTATTTTTTTTCCACTAAAAATGATATAATGTTATCAAATTTTTAAGTTTATTATTCATTTTTAACAAATTGGAACAGTATTTCCGAACAAAAAGTTTCATAAAAAAACATCTTTTTTAGAAATTAATGGTGTGGTGATAAAAGATAATATTATTGCCATGAATTGTTCATAATATAGAAAAACATCTAAATTTTATATAAAAAAATGTTTTCAATTAAAAACATAATTTATTTTCAATAATTCTTTACATTGAATGCAAATCGGAACAGTATTTTGGAACAGAGGGAGTATGTATTTTTTTTTTTTATAAAATGTAATTTTTTTCATAAAATGATCAATTTTTATTTTTATTTTATATAGTTTTGCTTTTTTTAAAACTCAACGTGATATACTTTAGAATAAATCTTTTTTTTTTTCATAATATTAGAGACTCGCCTGATGTTTAAGGGTCTTGTGCAACCAAAAGAAAGCAGTTTTTAGGGTGCAAATGGTTTAGTGTATAGATATTATTTAAAACAAGTATTTTTTTAGACAAGTGAGAATGTCTAAACATTTTTCCTGCATATTTCCAGATAATAAAAATTAAATTATTTTATGTCTTTTTGATCACTCTTACAATAACATTGTGTAGGAAGGTCAAATGGACATTTGTGATATTGAAACAATAATACTGTTTATTTAAGACGTTATATATCAAAGTTCTTCAGAAAAACCGCTTCCCCATATTTCTAAGTAAAATCTGTATGATTGGTTTGAATGATAAAAACATTTTTGAAGTATTAATTGGCATCTATGGTAACAAGGTATCTATGTAACAAGGTATCTATCTTTTAAACAAAATGTTTTAACAAGCTCAAAAAATGTCAGAACAAATTGTTAATTGTTAACTTGTTTTTAATGTATGATATAATTTTTGAAAGTTCATTGAGAGCAAGTGATTATAGAAGAATGAGGCTGAGGCAACATATTTCAATTTTTCATGTTTTGTTACTTTTTTTTGAGAGCATCAAAAAAAATTTATTTTACTTTTTACTATAAAACAATCCAGGCCTGATGCAAATGTTGTATTGGTATATATATTTTGTTTATTTAGAAATTCTAGAAATATCTTGAGGCATGAACTCTTTTAATATCAATTTTCAAGTTTAAGGGAAAAATCAGAGAATATTGTTTTCAATGTTGCTATTCATTTTCATACAGCAATATCTCTTTATTCTAGTTTCTTTTGAACTGATCAACCAATAACTGGTGAAACACTTAAAGAACTGCAAGCAGTTTCTATTCAAACTTATATATGTTTAAATGTTTGCAAAAATGCCAAAACTTCATTTTTTAATAAAAATTGAGTTATCTAATGGCACAAAACAATATTAAACTAGGAAGATGTTAGCTTTTTATTGGAGTATGATCTCCAGCAACTTAGGTGTAATAGAAATATTACTAATGTTCAGTTTGACAAGTTCCAGAGAGAAATATATGTAATATTTCTTTGTTACTAAATATTTTTTTTTTTTTTCAATATTAAGTCATATCATTGAAAAAAGCTCTTCTTTTTATTTTTTGCTTGTGTAACATGTATTTTCATATCATTTTTTTTTATCATTTTGAATATCTTTTTGACTGTTGATGAAGTTTGTAACTTACAAGAAGATTAATGTCTTTGTTCACAAAGTTAAAAAAGTTCAGGTTTTGTAAAACTATGGTGATTGATATCATATTTATCATTTGTTAAACATAAAGTTTGTTTAAACTACTTTTCAAAATATTAATTTATGCAAGTTTATACATAACAACAGCATATTTTTAAAACTGCCTTCATTTTAGATGTTATATTTGATTAAGAACTTATAAAAGTTGTTTAATAATATTGGATTCCATGCTGACAAAAGGATGGCTACACGCTAATGTTTTAAATATGCATCAGTAAATGTAATGCCATTAATAAATGATTCTTTTTGTATTATGATGACATAAAATGAGTTGCAAGTGTCTCTGGAGAAGCAAATTATTTTTTTTGATTGGTTAGCAACATTTAATTTAGGTATCTATGATGGCGTTAAACTTTGTATGGTTTTGTTGTTTTTATAATTTCATATAGATTTTCCATTAAATTTTCTTTTAATTCTTATTTTTAGCTCCAGTTTCGGTAATTTATATATATCATTAGGTATAATTTTATGCTTTTAGCATTTTAAAAACTTATGAATCAATGTCAAGTTTCACAATAAGTCTTTCAAAAAGGTTAATTTAAAGATTAACTGCAACCTTTTGACAAAGGTCTTTGATGTTAACACAATGGCAACTAACTTTGATTCAGAGTTTGAATTATTTTTCTCTAATGTTATGACTGTAAATAATTGTCAAATACGTTGCCGATGTTGGCTAATTCTTGTCAGAGTTATAGCTCAAAAACTTTTCCAGCACTAATTTGATTTAGAGTGGATCCTAACTGCCTTATATCATTGTTTGAGAAGCCTTTAGTGAGTTGAACTTGTACAAGGCCATTATGTAGACAATCTTTGCCTATATTTGACTCAGCTTTATTGTCTATCTATATGTTGGCTCTGTGTTTCCAATGACATTATAAGTAATTTGTTGAGCTTTGTTTGAATCATTCTCAATAAGTTTTAGGAGATTATTATGCCATCTGCCGTTTTTGCATTTATGTGAAAGACCAAAGTTTAAGGATAGTCAACATTTCTCAGTGCTGATATTTGAGTTTGAAGATAAACTTCTTGAAGAACAATGTGTTTCAAGTGAATGAACAATTTCAGTCTACCAATTGAGCAAATTTGCAGTCACACACTTGAATGGTTTTTGTTGGCGGTTGGAACATAAATGAACTAATATTGTAAAGAAAAAGTCAAAAAATTTTCTATTTTCTATTTTTATTTTATTTTTCTATTTTGTCTATTGATTAATTTTCAATTACTCTTTTTAACTCTTTATGTTGTTTTGGTTTTGTTTTGTTTTTGGTAAAATTCCAAAAAGTAAAACTGCTTCAAAGTTTTAAACCAATAAAAGGAATGGCAGTTTCCAATTTTATTTCATTGGACATTTTACTGACCCTATTTGCTGATAGTAAATCCAATTTTGGTTGGAAACTAATTTTTATACAATAGTTAGAAAAAGAAAAAAAGTTTAATACATCTTTCTCTATTATTAATATTTCTTTATGTATTTTTAATTAATTTATCTAAAATGTAACAATATTTTTAATTATTTTTATATTTTTGGATGTCTAAACTTTAACTTTATTTAACTTTGTATTTTTGCAAAATAAAATTGATATTTTCATATATTTTTTTTTACATTTAAAGATTTAACAGAATGTCAAACCAATTGTAAAACTAATGGAAAATGCATCTTGAAGGATTCAGTTTATATATGCAGTTGTAATAATGGCTTTGAACTAGATACCATTTTAAAAACTTGTGTTGGTAAGTTTTGAAAAAAAAATGTTTAAAGCTTTATTTTTTTTTTCTCAATGTGTTGTGATTTTTTTCATTTGTAAAGATGTAATGGCTGACATGGAAGAACACTTTGTTAACTGAAAAATTTTAGTTGAGGTGGAAAAAGGGTAAATGATAATGATGACGATGATGATGATGATAATTGATGATTATGTAAATGATGAAGATGATGATGATAATTGATGATTATGTAAATGATGAGGATGATGATGATGATGATGATGATGATGATGATGATGATGATGATGATGATGATGATGATGATGATGATGATGATGATGATGATGATGATGATGATGATGATGAGTGATGATGATGATGATGATGATGATGATGATGATGATGATGATGATGATGATGATGATGATGATGATGATGATGATGATGATGATGATGATGATGATGATGATGATGATGATGATGATGATGATGATGATGATGATGATGATGATGATGATGATGATGATGATGATATGATGATGCATTCAAAATTTATATATAAATTTAAGTTTATTTAAAATTCTATTTTATTCTCAATATTTACTTTAAAAATGTATTTTATTTTAGACATAAATGAATGCTCCACTATTTGTAAAAGTAATTCTCAGTGCATTAATTTAGTTGGAAGTTATATCTGCCTCTGTAATACTGGCTTTATTTTAGACAACACCAAAACAAATTGTGTTGGTAAGTTTTATTAAATCATTATTTTTCAACTACCTTACTACCTTATAAACTTAGAAATAAATTGATTAATTCTATATAGGACCAGCTATAAATTACATTATCTATCTAAACTACATCAACTGTATATATTTTTTGATAATATTTATTCATGTATTTGTGTATTCAATTAAAAGTTACATTATCCATGTTTTTTGTCTAAAAATCTGTGTATAAGTGCTCTTGACCTATCTGTCTGTCCTTAATAATACTATACCCATCTATACATATCTTTGTATGTGGTCTTGATTATACACTGCATTACTTGCGTTTTTTGTTAAATAGTACAACCTTATTGTATATGTATGTACATGGTTATAAACAATATTACGTGTTTTTTTTTTTTAAATAATACACTTTTAAACACACTTTTAAAATAACTTAACATTTAGTTATTGCTACATTCAGTTAAAATTGCTGGTGTCCTACTTTATTTATTATTCTTATTTTTAAATGAATCAGATAAGTACAATTTTTTTAAATTACAAAATTTTAAAAAAATTGTACTTTCACTCATGAATAGGTTTTGTATAACAAAATGAGACTGGATTGTTAAAATTAGTTTATAAAAATCAGGGACATTACTAAAACTACTGCTTTCTTGCGTCATCTGCTAAGGTTATAGGTATTCTAATGCTATTTTAAATTTGTTATTATTATTTTTTTTTTTTTTGTGAAGAAAACTGTCAACGAATCATTCAAGTCAATCCATAATTGTATTTATGCAGATGAAAAAAGTTAGTGAAAATAACATAATAACATTAATGAAAGTATTTTATTTTAAAAATAAAATGGGTTTCATTTTTTTAATCTTCCTGATTTTAAATTAGTTAAAATGTTTAGGTTGACATAATTTTTTTTTTTTGTTGTTGATAATATTAGGAATGTGTTTATAGAATTTAAGCAAGGTTGAATGATTTTGAACATTCCCAGAAAATAAATTTTTAGAAATCCAGTATCATTTTTTATTCAGAAAATATTTAGCAGAGTTTTTTTGAAGTAATATTTTTAAAATCATTTTTTTAATGTTTTAAAAAATAAGTTTTAAAAAATCAAAAAATTTGACAAATAGATTACACAATAGATTATGCAATTTGTTTCATAATTAAAGGGATTGATAGTTTACAGAAATTTCATTAAACTTTGTTTGATATTTATAAGCTTTGTTTGATATTTATAAACTTTGTTTGATATTTATAAGCTTTGTTTGATATTTATAAGCTTTGTTTGATATTTATAAACTTTGTTTGATATTTATAAGCTTTGTTTGATATTTATAAACTTATTGTTTCACTTTTTTTTTTCAATTTTAATTTTATCAAAAGTTTAGAAATATTTTTGTTAAAAATTTCATCTTTCTTAAGGAATGAAACAAGTTCTGCATTGTAATCTTTTGTATTAAATGTTTTTGATTGGTCAGTGAAAATAATTGGTGTGTATTGTGGTTTACATTAAATATTTTTTGAATGAATTGAACAGTTGCTTATTCATTTACACTATTTTTTTAATACTATTTTATTTTTTGTATAAAAGCTTACTGAAACATTTGTATAGGATATAACAAGGTTATATCGAATACAACTTTTACTAATACTTTTGAAAAGATTAAAAGGGCAGAAACAAAATAACAAGCCAATAACAAAATATAATTATTTTCTGTTTTTGTGCATCAGAGTAACCATGTCAGTTTACAAAATTTTTGTCTAAACTTGTGTGAAAAATTAGAGAAATTTGGTGGAAAATTTGGTGAAAAATTAAAGAAATATAAGTTGAAAACAAAAATAAAAAAAAAAAAGTAATCGCTAACTTAAAAGTTGAACAAAAAAATGTATGCATTTTTTTGTTCAACTTTTAAGTTAGCGTAACAAAAAAAATCTGCATTAGAATCTGCAGTTGTTGCACCACCACCATCGCAAATCTGCAATCACTTGGAAAAGTTGAAGAAAATTTAATCAGCTCTATAAAATAAAAAAAAAATGAATGTTGCAAAAAAATTTTGATAAAAATATCTCAAGCTCGCAAAATTTGATGAAAAAATGTCTTTCAAGATTATTTTTAACTTTGTGGTTTCTTTATTAAGCAAAATTTCCAAATATTTTTAATAAAATAGTTTTGTGGTTTCAGGTGATTTTTGGTGGTTTTTAGTGGTTTTTGTGTCAAACTGATTTTACTTGTGCAAAAGTTTGCGCAATACTTGTGCAATAGTTCAACTTTTCATTCTGCAATACTTTTATTTTTCATAAAAAAGTCTTATGAAAACTTAAAAAAAAATTTAAAGGTTTTGTTAAATGATTTATGAAAGATTGTATAAAATAATTTTATTAATGAAAAATCTTTATTAACTAATTTTAAATATTCTGTTGCCGAGCAACCGGCTGCTACATTTTTTGTAAATTCTGTTTTCCTTTAAGATGATTAATTTTTGTATGCAACCTTATTTTTATGTAATACTGTATAAAACGTGTTATAAAATTTATTTAAAATAAAAACAAAATACAAACCTAAAACGATGAGTTTAATATAGAGAACAATAGATATATTATTTATATTGCTGTTTTTAGATATTAATGAATGTAGTTCTGATTGTCAATGGCCCAATAGTAATTGCACTAACACAGATGGAAGTTATATCTGTTCATGCAATTCTGGTTATAGATTAGGCAGATTTAGTAATAGCTGTGATGGTAAGTTTTTCTTATGAATGTGTTGATTGTGTTTAACTGCATACTTATCATTTTGGTAAGAGTAAACATATATATGATAACTTTTTACAAAAGTTATTGACTTTAACACATGTATATTTTTCAGTATAATAAAATTTTTTATATATCATAGTGAAACAAAAATAATTTTGATGAATATTACTAAAATTTAAAAATAAAAAAATTAAATATAGAATGTAGTATTTTGTAATTTTATTGTGTTGAGCATGATTCAAGTAAAGTGTTTATTGACCTTTTGTTATGTACTTTTTCATTTATTGTTATGTATGCAATAGTGTGTAAGTTTATTTTTTTAATTATTAGACATAAATGAATGTATAACCACTTGTAGATGGTCAAATAGTATTTGCATGAACCTTCCAGGAAGTTACAGTTGCTCCTGTAGAACTGGTTATCAACTAAGCAATGATAATACAAGTTGCCAAAGTAAGTACTAAAGCTTTTTTATATATGTATAAAGGATTATATATTTTTAAATTAATGTATATATATTTTCTCCTTTGAAATAAACCTTTTTTCTTTTATGCCTCTCTCTTTCTCTCTCCCTCTATATATATATATATATATATATATATATATATATATATATATATATATATATATATATATATATATTATATATATATATATATATATATATATATATATATATATATATATATATATATATATGTATATATATATATATATATATATATATATATATATATATATATATATATATATATATATATATATGTATATTATATTATATTATATTTATATATTATATATTATATTATATTATATTATATATATATATATATATATATATATATATATATATATATATATATATATATATATTATATTATATTATATTATATTTATATATTATATTATATTATATTATATTATATATATATATATATATATATATATATATATATATATTATATTATATTATATTATATATATACATATATATATATACATAAAAATTTCTTTATATATATTTATATATATACATAAATGTATGTATAAATATATACATATACATTTATAATTCCTTTAAATTTTTAGATATAAATGAATGTGAAACTACTTGTAATTGGGATAATAGTATGTGCAGAGATACAATAGGAAGTTATACTTGCTCTTGCAGACCTGGTTTTGAATTCAACTCAAACAAAACCCAATGCGTAGGTGAGTTTCTCCGGTTCAATTTCCAAATTTTTAATATCAAAGTTGTTTGTATGTATTGAGATTTGAGTATAGTAAGAGTTGTATCTTATATATAAGGAGGTGCAAATTGTTCAAATCTAATTAACTGAAGTGGTAATCATATATATAAATAAAAATATGAATATATATATATATATATATATATATATATATATATATATATATATATATATATATATATATATATATATATACATATATATAATATATATATATATATATATATATATATATATATATATATATATATATATATATATATATATATATATATATATATATATATATATATATATATATATTTATATATATATATATATTAGACTTGGCCAGGAAGGCATGTGATTTCAAGTCTTTATAATTTTTTATATATATTATTTTATTATATAAGTATAAAGTAAAAATTCAAAAAAAATTAAATTTTATAAGCGAAGGCATTAAACAGCGATATAAAGTTTAATAAACTTTGTATAAGAATCATTAAAGTTTTTGTTGAGAAGAAAAAAAAAGACAAACCTTTTTGAAAATCATTTGAACTAAACAAAATACTTTGATATTTACTTTCGATTCTATAACGCATTTAAATAAAGTAACAAATCACGTCTAATGGTTATTTATCAAAACATTAATGAATAATATTTTTAATATTATATAAGTATTTGTATTTTAGTATAAATGTTTGAAATTAAAAAAAAATTATATCAATACTTCAAATAAACGATTTAATTATTTTTTTTTTGTGCAAAGAATTTTTAAAAATATCTTTTTAAACTTTCAAATCCACGCGTTAATAAACAATCGTTAGTTGTTAGTAAGTTGTTACTTTATTTAAAAAGGGTTAAATAAAAACATTAGTAAAGATACACAATTAAATAAAAACATTAGTAAAGATAAACAATTCAAAGTTATTTCAAACGTAATTTAGATAATCTTTTCATTATAATTTCTTATTTATTTCAGTTAAGTTTTAATTTTATTTATGCTATTTTAGTTTTAGTTAAGTTATTTTAATTTTGTTTTTCGTTATTTTTTTTACAAAGGTTTATTTGCTTCTTTAACGATAATTTTTTTTAAGTTTCTTTATAGTTAAGTTAAGATTTAATTTTTTTTAGTGCGTTTTTAAAGCGTATACAAATTTTCAAAACATTTTAATAGCCGTGGTCAAGTTAAGTAAAATCAAATAGTTTTTGCATGGTCATATTATGATGTAAAATCGCTCTCCTTCCTGGCCAAGCCTTATATATATATATATATATATATATATATATATATATATATATATATATATATATATATATATATATATATATATATATATATATATATATACACATATATTATATATACACATATATTTACACATTTTTTCAAATAAATTGTTTTTTTTTTGTTTTGTTTTTCTTCTTGAAAATCACTGTGATTTTAATTTTAAAAGATTAATAATTTCTGTTTGTTTGTTATCTTATATTATTTAAGATAATTAATTATTTATCTTTTAAAAATTCAAGGGTTTAAAATCCATTTTGAAAATGATTGATTCTTATAATTATTTACTGTTTAATTGAGTCATGCAATCTTTTACAGCTTGCAGCACAAACGCAATAACTGTATATCATTCAAATATATAATCAGTTGTATATTTGAATGATATAAATACAGTTATAATTCAATCAATTGTATGAAAATAAATTATTTCAAAGATACTTACAAACAATAATCTAATAAATGTAAAGTAAACACCTTTAATACTGAATTTTTTATACATAATTATTATCAAAAGTAATAATAATAATAACAACAACAACAACAACAGCAATAACAACAGCAACAACAAATAAATATAAGCAAAAGTAACAACTATAATAATGATAATAACAATAAAAGTATTGTGAAAATAAGAAAAAACATTTTAAACTATTTTAAAACAATACTTAATGTTTAAAAGGATAATAAACAGAAAGAAAAGAAATAAACCAAGTTTAATCACATTATAAAAATAAACAATTAAAAAATTACACATAACATTTAAACAAACATAACAGAAAGTGCAACTAAACAAAGTAAAAAATTGCAGAAACAATCAAACATCAAAAATGACAAATGCAATAAAAATTTCCTCTTTTTTTTTCATTTTGAGAATTTTTTTTTTTTTTTTTTGTTATTATTATTTATTTTTTTTATGTTTACATTTTAATCAACTTTGTTTCTTTCCATGCTTTTGTTAACTTTTATTTTCAGTTTTAAATTTTTCTTTCTTTACACTCAATAATTATAAGTTTAATTATTTATTATTCATTTTCTTTTTTCATTTTCTAATATTTTTTTTTCAAAAGAAAAACAAAAATATAACTTTAAAAGTGTTGTCAATGTCAACACATTAATCCTTAATGAAGTTTGAGAAACTTTTAATCTGATAGTTACAATATATTTACAACATATTTTATAATATATATATGTAAATAATTTACAATGCGAGATCTTGCTGTTTCAAATAAATGTTTTGAATAAAATCCTCATAAGTTGTTGTAAGTGAGTTAGTGAGGAGCTTTTTTTTATGATTTGTATTAAAATACTTGAGCAAGTTTCAAGTGATAAAAAGTGGTTTCAAGTAGTTTTTGTGACATACTAGTTTTTGTGACATACTAGTTTTGCTTGCACAATAGTTGCACAATATACTTCATGCAATACTTTAAAAAAAAAGAAAAAAATCTTCTTTGACTACTATGTTTTCTGTTAATTTCAGCTGTAAGAGAATTAGTTACCTCATACTCGCAAACAACCTTAAATTTCAGTTGTCCTATAAGAGAGTTAATTGTCTCATATTGGCAAACAATCATAAGTTTGCCTAATATTGTTTCAAACAAAAATGTGCAATAAAATTTATGTAAAATAAAAAATTGTTCAAAGTAAAAATAATGAGATATAGAAAACATATGATATATATAAAAGATTTTTTTATTTATATTGTTGTTTTTAGATATTAATGAATGTGATTCCCAATGCAAATGGACTCAGAGTAATTGCACTAACACAATTGGAAGTTTTATCTGCTCGTGTAACAGAGGTTATATATTAACCGCCAATAGAAGAAGTTGTAGGGGTAAGCTTTTCTTGAGAATATTGTACATAGTATATTTTAGAATATTTTAGACTCCTCTAACACTTTGCATGAATTTTCATTAGGATATTTAATGTTGTTAAATAGGTTCTGTTTTGATTTACAATCGTTTTTAAAGATGTTTTCAAAGTTTCTTGAAAAAGTTTTAAGTTTGATTCTAGTTTGAATATTAAATTTTGCATTTCTCAAAATTTTTTTTCTCACAATTTTATTTTTTAGTTTAATAAAAATATTTTTTTTTTTGAAATTTGATTTCAGTTTAATAAATTTTTTGATGAGTAAAAATATCATTGAGTAACAACATTTTTTGATAAATTATAAAAAAATATAAAAATTAAAAGTAATTAAATATACAGTATAGTGTTTTGTAATTTTATTGTTTTAAAATTATTAAAGTGGAATGTTTATTGAACTTGATGTTATGTATGTAACAGTGTATGCAATAGTGTATGCATGTTTTTAATTATTAGACGATAATGAATGCTTAACTACTTGCAATCAGCGAAATAGCCTTTGCTTAAACTATGACGGAGGTTACAGTTGCTCCTGTAATAGTGGTTATCAACTAAGCAAAGATGGTACAAGTTGCGATGGTAAGTATTTAAGCTTTTTTATTTTGTTGAAATAAACTTTTCTTCTCTTATTATATATAAAGCTTTGAAAAATAGTTTTAAACAGATGTAAAATGTTTTCTAAAGAATGTTAAACTAATAAAAATAGCAGTTAAAGAAAATACTACATGTGTTTTTTAAAATTTGTAAATATACAAATGTGTGTGTACACATGTATGAATGCTGTATTAGAAACACATTGATGATGTCGCACTGAAATAGGTAGTTGCAGGGGCTTTAGTACATATATCAACTGGCTAAAAAGGATGAACATACAAGAAGTGCTGCTACATCAACTGAGGGTTTGGGTTAGGGCAGCAATTGGTTTTAGGGCTTAATTCTTTATTTTTTCTTCTTTTTCTGAAAAACTAAAGCACACATTTAAGGACTAAATTTTTTTTTTCGCTTAAAAGTTAAATTCTAGAAGATTTACAAAAATCTCCTGATCTCCAGGAGATTTTTGTAAATCCTAACCCTAACCTCCAATAAATTGGCTTTATTGTCACAAAGTAAATAGATCCAATATAGAGAACTGTATAATCTAGTTTTGACAAAAATTTCCATGCTGGAAAAAACGAAAACCATTTTATTGAATTTAACCTAGTTTTAATTTTATCATGTTATAAAATTAAAAAATCTTACAAAAAATAAAATAAAATTTTCTCTCTCCATTTTGTCTTAAATCAGGCGGGGGTTTTTTGCATAAAATTATGCATAAAACTTTTTTTTTGGAAGAGTTGCTAATACACTATTGCTGCCTAAATTTGCAAAATATTAAATTAACGCGAAAAAAAATTAAATTAACGCAAAAAAAATTTAACGCAAATTTATAATCCTAGTAAAAAATTCAAACTTTGTAAAATTATTATTTGGTAATTTTACAAATTTATAAATTTATGTGATTTATTTATAAATTTTGGCAATTTATAAATAAATCACATAAAAGTCATTTAGGCTTATATCCTACCAAAAATTTGGTTTGACTTTCTAAACATTTGGGCAAATCCATCAAAAAATTATGAAAACTTTGACTATAAGGCAGGAGTCACATCACTTTGATTTATTCTTTGATTTGATTGTTGTGGCATTATTTTGATTTTGAAGATAATTACTATCTATGAAGTTGCTTGCCAGATTTCATTTTTTTGTCCTGGCTTTAACATGAAATGTTTCAGACAATCTGCATATTCTTGTAAATTCTTTAATTCAGTCCTTCTATTAGTGCTGTGGGCAAAGTAATTGTACACCCTGCATACTAAATCTTTCAGCTTATTCATAACCAGAGACTCAGTTGTGTGTGCCAACAAATCCAACAAGCATGGTATTCTTGTTGGATTTTGTGCAGATTATCTACAACACAATGTTTGGTAAATAAAACTCTCCTTACAGGATCACAGAGCTTAGACGTGCTTAGCATATCCAAGCTGATTCTGTAATCTCACAACAAAGTCAATCTAGAATCTGTCAGTGACATCTTAAATCTCCACCATGCCCAGTAGCTAGACCACAAGAAGACCAAGACTAAGGCGATAATGCTGGATCAAAAAAAAAAAAAATCTTACAAACTGGAAACACTGACAGTATTTTTAACATTAAAAAAAAATGGTCATTAGGCTTAAAACTAACAAATTCATTAAAAAATTGAAATTTTTTTCTTATATATATATATATATATATATATATATATATATATATATATATATATATATATATATATATATATATATATATATATATATATATATATATATATATTATATATATATATATATATATATTTATATATATATATATATTTATATATATATATATATTTATATATATATATATATATACTACTGTGATCAAAAAGTAAGGTGAATTTTTTTATAAAATGAAAAATCTTTATTTATTCTTCCAAATCTGTTTCGTCCCCCTCAAAATAATCCCCCCCGGCCCCAATGCACTTTTGCCAACGTTTTTTCCAGTCTTCGAAGCATGCCGAAAAGTCCTCGGTAGGGATAGCCTTCAATGTGCTTGCCGATTCACGTTGGATCTCTTCAATGGACTCAAAACGATTTCCCCGGAGTGGTCTCTTGAGCTTTGGGAACAGCCAGAAGTCACACGGTGCTAAGTTGGGCGAATACGGTGGTTGTGGAGCAACATGGGTAGAGTTTTTGGCGAAAATTTCACGAAGAACCAGTGCTGTGTGCGAAGGCGCATTATCGTGGTGCAAAATCCAAGAGTTATTGGCCCATAATTCCAGTCTCTTTTTGCGAATAGCTTCACGCAAACGTCGCATAACGCTTAAATAATATTCCTTGTTGACAGTTTGGCCAGTTGGAAGGAATTCGTAGTGCACGACACCACAATAATCAAAGAAAAGAGTCAACATGACCTTGATTTTTGAACGACTTTGACGTGGTTGCTTCGGTCTCGGCTCGCCTTTTTCACAGTATTCACTCGATTGGTCGGTTGTTTAAGGGTTGTATGCGTAGACCCAAGTCTCATCGCCAGTAATAATTTGTTTGTAGACGTCATGATAGTCAGAAAGCATTGCTTCACACGTTTTAACGCGACGCTCTTTTTCAAAGAAATTGAGAAATTTCGGCACCAAACATGACTTGAGTCTTCTGAGGCCCAAATGATCTTTCAAAATCGCTTGCACTGACCCAAATGATATTCCAACCATGTCAACAAGGTCTCGAATGGTTAACCGACGATTTGCAAGCACCAATTCTTTGATTTTGTTGATGTGGCAATCATCAATCGAAGTTGATGGTCGTCCGGAGCGTTCCAAGTCATCAACACGTTCTCGGCCTTCTTTAAAGTCTTTGTACCACTTGTAAACATTTTTTTGAGACATAGTCTCTTCACCGAAGGCCTTTTGCAACATTTGATACGTTTCAGCAGCAGAAATATTATTCCGCAAACAAAATTTAATAGCACTTCTTTGCTCAACAAAATTAGACATCGTGAAAATCGCCGAATGCACTTTTGGTACTTCAGAAACAAGCGTAAACAAAAAAATAATAATTATGAGTTTGACATGTAATTTGGCGCAAATGTTAATGACATTCCTACCAACTTAAAAATAAAAAAGATTGGACGATTCGAATAAGACGGGAAGCTCAAATTAAAAATTCACCTTACTTTTTGATCACAGTAGTATATATATATATATATATATATATATTTTTTCTACTTAAATTTGCTTACTTTTAGATATAAATGAATGTGAAACTACTTGTAATTGGGATAATAGTATCTGCAGAGATACAATAGGAAGTTATATATGCTCTTGCAAACCTGGTTTTGAATTCAACTCAGACAAAACCCAATGCGTAGGTGAGTTTTTCCTGTTCAATTTCCAAATTTTTATTATCAAAGTTATTTATATATATTTAGATTTGAGGATATTTAGAGACCTATCTTCTTATTTATATATATACATATATATATATATATATATATATATATATATATATATATATATATATATATATATATATATATATATATATATATATATATATATATATATATATATATATATATATATATATATATATATATATATATATATATATATATATATATATATATATTATTTTACAATTTTTTTCAAATTGATCTTAGTAGTTTTATTTTTTTTTAAATCACTGTGATTTTAATTTTAAATGGTAAATAAATAATTTCTGTTTGTTTATTATCTAAGATTATTGATTATTTATCTTTTAGAGGTTCAAGGGTTCAAAATCTTATTTGAATTATAATCCTATAATTATTAATTAAATCTTATAATTTACTGTTTAATTGAGTCATGCAATCTTTTACAGCTTGCAGCACAAACGCAATAACTGTATATCATTCAAATATATAGTCAGTTGTATATTTTAATGATATAAATTATCATTTAATCAATTTTATATTTTCAAAAAAAAATATTTCATACAGTAATCCAACAAATCTTAAAATAACACCTAAAATACTGAATTTTTTATACATAATTATTATCTAAATTAATAATAATACCAACAACAACAACAAATAAATATCAGCAAAAGTAACAGTGTAATAGTAATGATAATAACTACAATAAAAATATTTTGAAAAGAAAAAAAAAAAATTTAAAAACAATACTCGATGTTTAAAAAGATAATAAATAGAAAGAAAAAAAATAAACCAAGCTAAATCACATTATATAAATAAAGGAATATAAAAATAAAATAATTGATTAAAAATATTACACTTAACAATACCACAAGACAATCATAACAGAAATTGCAACTAAACAAAGTAAAAAATAGTAAAAACAATCAAACATCAAAAACAACAAATACGATACAAATTTCCTCCATTTTTTTTCATTTTGAGAACTTTTTTATTCTTTTATGTTGTTTTTTTTTTTTTTGTTTTTGTTTTTTTATTAACTATTATTAATTATTAATTTTAATCAACTTCATTCCTTTCCTGGCTTTTGTTCTCTTTTTTTTTTAGTTTTCAATTTTTATTTTTTTTTATTTTTTTACATTCAATAATTTTAAGTTTAATTATTTGATACTTATTCATCTTCTTTTTTTATTTTCCAATAATTTTTTTTTTTTAAAAAAAAAAAAAAACAAAAAAAAAACATCATTTTAAAACTGTTGTCTGCTATTAAAAATGCCAACACATTAATCTTTTTTGATGTTCAATTTCTTTTGCTATTTTTTACTGTGTTTAGTTGCAATTTCTGTTATGCTTGTCTGTTATTTAAATGTTAAATGTAATTTTTCATTAGTTTATTTTTATAGTGTGATTTGACTTGGTTTATTTTTTTGTTCTGTTTATTATCTTTTTAAATATCAAGTATTGTTTCTATTGTTTTTGATAAATAAATGTTTTTTTGTTTAAATTTAAACAAATAAACCTTAAGTTACATATGCTTTTGTAAACCTGGTTTCCCATTCGGTAGTAGTCAAACCCAATATATAGGTAAGTTTGACTAATGACCAAATTTTACTCATTTTAGTTATTATTTAAAATTATTCCTTAAATTTTAAGTGATGTAAATTACATTTTAGCAACTTAGTTTTTAAACTTTTTTTTTGTATATATTTATTCATGGCAGAGGGGATTGCAGTAAGTTTTTATTAGTTTTATCATTTGTTTAAGTTGTTTGCATATATTAAGGTTTTAAGATCAAGCAGATCTCCATTTATATAGTGGGGATAGGGTCCAATCTGCTTGATCCTAATATAGTTCTTATAATGAACTATTATTAGTTATATGTTATATCAACATATAACTAATAATAGTTCATTATATGGTCATAATCTTGTAAAAAAATTGTCAAGAAAAGGAAAAAACCAGACCATAATACCAGTGTTTAAACATTAGCTATGTCAGTTTTGTGATGTAGAACTGTGCTGTGATGTAAAATTCTAGGTGGTGTCCTGTCTGTTTTTCTACAAAGTAAATAGGCATCAAAAAGTTTTTTAAAAATCATGTAGACCTTATAAAATTTTTTATAAGTCACGTAAAAAATTTTTTATAAATATAATAAAATAAGTTAAATTTATTGATATATGTGTTAGATTTAACTCAATGACTTTTGTAGTATATTTCTGGCATCAACAAAAAAATAAATAGCAGAGTAAAAAATGAAAAAAAAAAATAAAGAATAAAATATAAAGGAAAAATGAGTGAAGAATTAAAAAAAAAGACTTCGTCACTATTTTTCATTTTCAATAAAATTTGTTGTTTAGAAAATTTTATTTTTAGATTTAATTTCTGCCTTAACATTCTATTTTAGGCTTTAACGTAAAAAAAAAAAAGATTTTTTTAAACAAAGTAGTTATGCTGTGAAAAATAAATTCTGAAATAGGTCCACATCAAGAACAACTTATAAAATCACTATTTTTTTCAGCTCGTTACACTCTCTTACATTTTTAGTTTCATGTTTAGTTTGTTCTGTTTAAACAGGCTTCCATTTTGCTCTGTCTTTATTCTGGAGATTTTGAAATTAAAAAAAAAAGGTGAAAAGATTTTTTCATTTTTTCACCTTTTTTATTTTCAACCATGCTGGTATAGCTTTTATCCAATTTAATTAAGTTCTATTTTGATATTTTTTTATATTGTTGTGTTATAAAATTGATTGTTATTAAATCAAATAAAGTTTGATTGTTTCCTTTGTTCTTTTTGTTATATATATATATATATATACAATCAAATAAGTTAAAAAAAATTTTTAAACTCCAATAAAAATAGGTTACTCTCCAAGTAAGGAACAAGTTAATTGAAATGACTTTTACAATTAAAGTTTAAATTAATCTTGGATTGTTAGAATGAAATAAATAAATGTTCAGT